GAAATGCTGTGTGGTGTTTTGTGAAAATGCCTTGTGGCGTTTTGTGAAATGCATGTGGTATTTCTGAAATGCTGTAGTGTTTTCCTGAAATCCCTGTAGTGTTTTTCTAAAATGCTTTAAAGTGTTTTGTGAAATGCGTGGTATTATCTGAAATGTCTGTAAGTGTTGTTGAAATGCCTGTGGTGGTTCCTTTGAAATCTGATTTGACTTGCACTTCATGAATGTGCCAAGACCCTAACCCTGCGGGCCGTATTAAACTAATACCCCATTTAAGTATATTCAGCGCTTTGTGTTCCAGAGCGAGCATGCAAGAAGTCTAATTGAAGTTAACATTGGTTGGGGGTGAAAGACAAACATTAGAGAATTTAACAAAATATTGTGTTGTTGAATTGAGAAAGATGTGAGGCTTGGCTCAGACACTCTGCCGTCTGATTGAGGCTAGAGCCTCAATGCCTACATCAGCCACTTCTACAACAGTAAAACATACCTTACGGGTATCTAACAGCCTTACGGTCTACACTACAGGCATCGAAAAATGCTTCAACGCTTCGCCCATTCACTTGAATGGGGGGACGTAGAAGATTTTTAATCTTCGCCGAACTGCATTGTGGGGAGCATGGCATGGCTTTGCCAGCATCACGAGCATCTATCGGCATCAAAAGTTGAACAATGTTCAACTTTTGAGGCTCGATGCTTGGCATCAGCCAATCAAATCCCGTTTATGCAAATCCCGCCAGTGCAAGCGCTAGCCAATCAAACCGCGTGCAAGCTGGAAGAGCCAGACCGCAGTTCATTTCCTCATATTCCAAACGAGATATTACGGTAGCAAATCACCCGGTTCTTTACGACCAGAATTATTTACCGAGATACAAACCGGAGGAACCAGGCATGGAGGGAGGTGGCAGAGACAGTGGGTGAAACTGGTAGGTTTTTCGCCTGTTTGGAGAGTTTATATCCAGTTTACTTTGTTTTAACATTGCTATTGCTTTGTATGTCGGGGGCGGGAGATTCATGTGATTGGTTGTTGGTCGCGTTGCTCGCAAAAAATTGCCAAGCTTCAGACACGCCCAGCTTCAAGATTTTTTGATGCCTGTAGTGTAGACGGGCCGTTAGAGATTCTACCAGACACTGTATGTAATTAAGTAATATAAGAACACAATGTATCTGCTGCATTTAAAAGACTAAAAATGACATATTAAAAGATTAACAAATTGATATAACAACACTGCAAGCTTTGCTAGTCAGTTGGATTTAATAGCCTTTACAAAGTTCCTAACCTGTTTTTTTGTTTTTCTTAGCTCAAGTGTCCAGATTTAAAGTAGTTGTTCACCTTCTCGTCCATGCTACAGAATTCTGCTACTATGCCTCCAAGTTCTTATACAAGAGTTATCACAAATACAATTATATTTGATAATAAACCTTAAAGATTGACTATGGCTTAGCTAGAATGCAGGATTCTTTCTATATCTTTAGTTTCTAAAGTTCAACAGGTTTGATCTGATCGCACAACGATCTGTCAAGAGTTCTCCAATGGATAAAAATGCCACTCTCCTTTTTATCTCTTCCTCTTTTTATGGTATGAATAGGACCCCAGGACTTGAATATTCAGAGTGCATAGCAGAATATACCCACTCTTGCAGTGAAACATTTAGTCTTTTGAGGATTGTTGTCAGGAGCCACGTGGAGATGACAGCATGGCAGGGCTTATTCCCACCTTTCTTCTGCCGTTCCTTTCTTCTCTCTCCTCTCCATTACCAGCCGCCCCCATCCTCTCAATGTCCTCAACCGATTCTCTCCCCCTCGTCGCTGACCCTCAAAGACAGAGTGCCCTGTTCTGTCTGTCTGCCATTGTCAACCAGCACAAGAATACCAATGGCCGGCAGCTCAAAGCAATCAATTCCTTCGAGGTAGATCCACTGTGTATCTGACATCAGCCTCCCTGATTATTGTCTCCAAACGCAAGCCAATCAGTAGCAGCCACCACCTCACCTCCCCACCACAAAAACCCTGGCATAATACTTAACGCCCCTGGTTTTTAAAGCGCTCCCATCCTCATCGACCGCAGTTTGGAAACAGAGTCCCATAGAACCCTGAATTGTTGCTTCAGAATGAGTTTGATCCATTTTTTTTCTGAATAGAGTTGTAAGAAAGGGGATTATCTGAACTGTACAGAACAAAATAACATGACAGCCTTAAATAATATCTGCCAGTCAACAAAATAACTTTGGAATTACTAACTTCCTTGGCAGATGTGAAAAATTGTCAGCAAAAGACAGCGAGCGCTCAAATGGAGGCATTAAGATTCTGCCAATGTGCTGCACATCTTCACTGATGTGCCAGGTTATTGAGGGTGATGTTAAACCACTGATTAGTGAGAACGGTGTTCAATCGAAGCACAATAACATGACATGATGTTACAGCTTGTTTTCTGATCTTTTTCCCCTCATCCTGCCAAGAGGTAAAATACGTTACTGATATTTGTCTTCTTTTGGCAGCAGCTTCAAAACCAAACCATGTTTCATATTGTTTCATTCTAAATTATGTTCCAGCCTTAGACATTTTCTTCATTTTCTGAGATTCAAATGTCAACATATGAGGTGAACATTATCGTTTGCTTCAAAGAACTACAAGGAATAAAAAGAAGAATGATGCTGCATTAGACAGTAGTGTATTGCCTGAAGCGATTGTGAAGCTATTCTTCTGTATAAACGCTGCCTAGAGTTACCTTTCCTTTGTAGACATTTATAGATTCACTTCAGGTGAGATAAATCAAAAAGGCCTCCACAGACTGAGTAAAGGCGGACCGCAAACCTTGCTCCCGGCTTTAATGTTTAGCACAACAACAAAAATACGGCCGACCTCTATCATTACAGCTTCATTGATGGGGCTTAACTGTGCTGCTGGGCGACCATCCAAACAAGTCTATTGAGGGGCGACTGATGAAGAGCGACATTTGGTAAGTGGAGGCCTTGACTTTTTGCTAAGGTGAGAACCTGTACACAAACCTGTAAGTGCATTGTTCAAGCAACCCCAGGATACTTTGATTAGCAGCAATCAATATACAATTTTATGAATCTGTAATTTAATAAGTTTCAATAAGAGACGACATTAACTATCTTTTTCTTATGTTAGCTATGAAACACGACAAAATGCAAACAATTTACATAAATTAGGCCAACAAATGTGGACATACCTGCTCTGAATGTCCATACTTGAAGGCGGATGAACGAAACAGCATCATGGCAACCTCTTGGCTATATTTTATTTCCTCCCATATTTCTCTTCAAAAACTGTGATTCTAGCATGTATTTGGTGGTTTGCCACAATTATTCGTACGAATGGGGAAAATGGCACATATATCATAGACATTGACGGTATTGCACTCGGTTACATGGAAAGTAGTGTAAGTAGTTGTTTGAAGAATGAAAGAGAGAGCTTGAGAGGAAAGTTCACAGCATCACCTGAACAACCAAAGTGCAGAGTGACCATGAGACTGGAAAAAGGTTCCATTTATATTTTTAGAGAGGGCATTTTTTCCCAAAAGTTGAAGCAGATAGCAGAATCGTGACAAAACTGGTTGATGTTAAATTTCATTCCAGCTTTAGAGCACGAGGGCTGAATGGAAAAACAGCAACAGCTGTACATTATGATGCAACAACAGAAAACAGTGCAGTTGTTTTAGATTGCAATGCCTTGTACAGTTGTTGCAATCTTTATGACTATCTCTTTTGTTTCTCATTCATCTTTTATTGATTTCTTAAACTTTTCAAATAAAACAAAGTACATTGCAGAAATACACTTTATAGCAGTCCACCTAGGTACAAAATATGAAAAATTGCCAAAGTATATTTGCCATATACTTTAGCAATTTTTCCTGACTTTTCCCCTCCTCTACCTGTTCTTTCTGCTCTTGTGAGAAGGACCTTTGCAGAGGCTTTTTTCATGTAAAGTTGAAGAAATTGAGCAGTGTTTCCCATATATCCAATTATTTGTGGCAGGCCACCCCAATACCAACACTGGCAGCAACAAATGTATTTTTTTCTATATATATAGTTATTTCACCTGACTTTGTTTGAATGCGTACAATCTTATTTAGAGCAGGGTGCAAGGCATTGATTTCCATAGACCATCTTTGGCCTGATCTCTGAATAAAATAAATACATTGAATAAGTCCCCATTTGTATAAAGCCTCTCTTCCCCGTGCACACTTTGAATCAGACTTGATCATGCGTGGGAGGAAAGGCTGTCAATGACCTTTCCCCACAGAGAGAGGAAGCATGGGGTAGCATCTAATTATGTGGGTAAAGCCTGATATGGTTTGTTTAAAACAACACATTTCTCATGCAACGAACAAATGTTATTTCATTTCATAAAAGTTTTTTTGTGGTGTTGATCATATTTGCGAAATTATGTTCACAGTGAACACAGAGAAATGTAGTTACCCCCATATTAATAATAAATAATATTATCACGGTTACTTGCTCTATGTTGGCTCTCCGCAGATTAAAAATGGAATAAGTGGAACCCCATCAGCCATCTGTTGGACACCACAGCAGCTACATGAATGGAAAGGTTAATCAAAAGGTTAATGATCTCAAGACCCCTGCCCTGTTGCAACGAAAACGTTGTATTGTCACTTGAATATGTTGTGCATGTGGTCGCATCAACTGAGAGGTACAATGTTCAGTACTTTGCTGACCTTTCCGCAGTTTTTTTTCCAGTCAGCGAAGGGTTTTACATGGACAAAGACTAAATATCTACATTAAAAAGGACAACGATGTACAATCCGTTACAGATTTCACAAAAAGTGTAGATGTATGTGTTTGCGTGTGTCTATATGAGCAAGTTTATGTTTGCCTGTGTGCAGGAGCGTGAAGGAGAGCAGAATGGCCTACAAGGCACATTGTGTATCAACGGGTGACATGTGGCTAGGTGAAAAAGCAACCTCCAAATCCGT